GATAAACACTAACATCAGGTAAGAATTGTCCCTGGGGTCTGGCTCTATCATCAAAGTAACCCCATCCGCCTTATCATATATCACATAATTGTTGACAGCCATCATAAATGCACCCCCCACCCCAAATATATAAGATAATTACTATTATTCCTATTCACTGTTTTACTATGCTATACCCCATACCTTCTTTCATCATTGCTATTAAGAAATGTATGTATAATTCTATATGCAATACACTTTCTCCTAGAATCACAGGATAATATGGTTGTTCTATATATCAATCCTCTGAAGAGCTGCCAAACAGCAAGATCCATTCATATTCTAGATCTGTCTTCTGACATTCCCAACTCCATTCCCTGCTCTTCCTGGCATATCTCTTAAGTGTAAATTAATGTAACCTTTTAAATTTTGAAATATATTATTCCTCTACTGTTAGGTAATTACTACAGGTAAACAAGCTGTTATTGCCTGCAATATTGGCTATAATTAGATAAAGCCCTGCCCCACCTTGGTACTGCCTACAGGTGTTATGTAACACCTGACCAAGTGTAAGCATTTAACAGGACAACTGTTTAGGTATATAATAAACTTTCTTTATTTTACAATAATTGCGAAACAAGTTTTTCCAACTTAAATAAATCACTTGTGTTAGCCCCAGGTGAAAGCATGCAAGGGGTCTTTATGTGGGAGGAAACCAGAGTACACAGAGAAAACCCATGTGAGCAGATGACCCCATACCTTTTCACATTCATTCTGGCAATCAAACCCTGGACAGCAAGGTGAAAGGCGAGTGCCTCACAACTGCACCACCTGAATAGGTACCCCTGGTAACCAACTGACTGACCAACAACCGAAGTATAAACAACAAATTTGTAAACAAAAAAAACGAAATAAAATTAAAATCTTTGACATTTGACTCAAGAGCCAGTTTTTATACGCCGCTGGAGGCGGTCGTATATTGGCGTCATTTTCTCTGTCTGTCCATCCGTACGGATGTACGTCCGTCCATTTCTTGTGAACGCAACTCCTCCTAAACTAATCATCAGAGTTTCACTACTACAATGGGTCGATGTGCATGAAGGGGCGATTTTTCGGTTCGTTGATTTTTGTAAGATTTATGCCATTTTGTCTTGATCTTTATATTTTGTGGCAGTGTATATTGTGTCCATGGCACTCTCGTTTTATTTGACATATTTTGTATTTGTACCAGAAGAAAATTATCAAGAAATAGTATAACTATATGAACTCCACACAATCAATGATTTTCCAGATATGTCCTTTTTAAAGTTTTTAACAGATAACATCATGGCAGCCATGTTGGATTTTTGGCCAACCTAAAAATGTTACACATACATCTTGAGATACATACCAACAAAGTATGAAATAGACTATAGACCTTACTGATCAAAATAATAATAAGTTGAAGAATAAGAATAATATAAGTAACATAACAATAACAACAGCATGGTGAAAAAGCCTTGATAATTGGCAAAACCATTTGGAGAGATCATAGCATTATAATTGATGTATCTCATTTGGCGACAATAAATGTTATAAATATATATAAAAAAAACACACTGAAACTTGTTCTTAAGGATTTTATTAGGTCATCTGGTCCAAAGGGTTTAGATAAACGATAGCCATCATGCTTCGCTGTCGTCGATCACGGTCTGCTGTCCATCGTTTTCTTTTCAACCCTACTGCTCTTTCATACCTTGGTGGATTTCACGGTCTGCTGTCCATCGTTTTCTTTTCAACCCTACTGCTCTTTCATACCTTGATGGATTTCATGGTCTGCTGTCCATCGTTTTCTTTAAAACACTACTGCTCTTTCATTCCTTGGTGGATTTCATGGTCTCCTGTCCATCGTTTTCTTTAAAACACTACTGCTCTTTCATACCTTGGTGGATTTCATGGTCTGCTGTCCATCGTTTTCTTTAAAACACTACTGCTCTTTCATACCTTTGTGAATTTCAACCAAATTTTGTATGATGCATCATTGGGTAATCATTTGTTAAATTCAGAATTTTGATTCAACCCCTAGGGGTTGAGGGACGGGGCCTGAATGGGGAGGTACTGAAATTAGCTTTAAAACCCTACTCCTCCTCCTTTCTGAGCGGATTTCAACAAACTTTGGCCTAATTCATCAGTTAGGGTAGGCAATTATTTCTTATATTCATAAATTTGATTTGACACTTAGGGAAATTTAGACAATATTTTGCTCCAAAATGCCACTAGTTATGCCTGGGTAGATTTTGACCAAATTTGTTTGAAACATTGTTGCAGGTGGGTTATCATTTAAAAAATTCAGAAAGTTGGTGTGACCCCCTATGGACCTGGGGCAGGTGCACAAATTCGAAAATTAGTTTATAATTTTACTTCAAAATGCTACTCTCCTTTAATGCCTGCATGAATTTCAACCAAATATGGTCTGAAATATCATTGTGGATATGGAATCATTTCTTAAATTAAAAAAATTGATTTCTACACCAAGGGACTTGGTGGTGGGGCCCAAATGGGGAAGTTTTTTCAAATTTTGTTTGCTAGAAATCTACATCAGTGGAGGTGGGCAATTAATTCTTAAATTCAGGAAGTTGGTTTGACCACAAGGGACTTGCCGTGGTAGATTCCAACCAAAGGTGGAGTGCTAGTTTGGGCCTACTGGTGGCCATGACAAATACTTTTTATTTTTTGTCAATTAAAATCTGGTCTGTTTCAACTTATTGTTATCACAACCCAACCAGTAGTATGCATTTATATATTACTGTGTTTAAAATGCTGTCATGTCCATCTCCGATGTTCATAGAAGGATTAGATAAAAAATTAGTAACCTTTGTTTCACTGGTTAATTGTTGGTTATTTTGGAAACCCTAATGACTCTGCATTATGATTTATTTAATATAATTATGTCCAATGTTTCCCATTTTCAATCTGCGATTCATATCGACCCATTTACCGATAGATTTATCACCTCGCTTTTGTTCAAGAGCATCATAATCTTATTTGGATAAGGTACTTTTGAGCTGCATCCGTAATTTTTCATTTCCTTTTTTTTTGTGTCGCCTACCAGCCACAGGCAACATATCGGTATAGCTATGTCGGCGATGACCTTGTTGTTGTCTTTGCCTTGCAAAGGTTTTTTTTGTGATAACCTGGGTTCACTTTGGCCGATTAAGCTTAAACTTAGCTTGCTTGGAATTGCTTTCAGGTCCAAAGTTCAAAGGCCAAGGTCACTATTAGTATAAATAGAAAATGCTATTTTTGTGATTGCTTCAGTTTCCTTTTAGATGATCCTCGGGATTGCTTTTGAGATTTGAAGATCAAAGGTCAAGGGCAGTGTTGCCGTATATAGAGATTGGTTTTAATGTAATAAGTTGAATTTTCTTTGGACAATTACACTCAAACTTCATACAATGCTTATGTGCAGTTTTTGATGATGTGTTTGGTCTTTATCTAGAGATGTCTATGGGACTGTTAATTTCATCCATTTAAGTAGAAATTAGGCTATTTCCAAACTCTGTATGTCACTGCTAGATAGCATGCTTTTACACCTGATTGATCAAGTAAAGCTCATGTTTCACAAATATTGCTACATATACACATGATATGGATATTATTGCAAATTAACATTTTCATATCTTTAAGTATCTTAAAAAAACAAAATTAAAATAAAAACATCATGTTGTATTGATAAGTTAAATGTTTCCTCGAGATTCAGTTTCCTTTTACACTATACATATAATCTGCAAGTTTACTATCACATCACAAACAAATGGACAAATTATATAAATGGAATATACACAATGAATATCTATGGCTTTAGTTCCATAAAACTCATTTCCAGAAACATTGCTTGGCAGGCAACACATCCACTTTCATCGAATTCATGTTTGTCTTTTGTTTTTTCAGCATTGCACATGATTTCCATTTATAGCTCACCTGGCCCAAATGGCGTGTGCCAACTTTTTATTTAAACAACTTCTTCCAAAATACCCAAGGGCCTAGAATCATTATATGTGGCTGGAAGGTTCCTTTGATGAAGCCCAACAAAGTTCACAAAAAGAAATGACCTTGACCCATTTTCAAGGTCACATAGGTCAAATGTGTTAAAAACTTTAAATGACTTCTTCCAAAATACCGGAAGGCCTAGAATCATTATATGTGGCTGGAAGGTTCCTTTGATGAAGCCCAACAAAGGTTGCAAAAAAAAATGACCTTGACCTATATTCAAGGTCTCATAGGTCAAATGTGTTAAAACCTTTAAATGACTTCTGCAAAAATACTGGAAGGCCTAGAATCATTATATGTGGCTGGAAGGTTCCTTTGATGAAGCTTAGCAACGTTTGCGAAAAAAAATAACCATGACCCATATTCAAGGTCACAGCGACTTCTTCCAAAATACCAGAAGGCCTAGGGTCATAATATTAGGCTATTATGTTCATCTTATGGTGTCCTACAAAGTTTGCAAAAAGAAATGACCTTGACCAATCTTCAAGGTCACAGGGGTCAAATGTGTTAAAATGTTTAAACAATTTCTTCTGAAATATTGAAAAGCCTAGAATCATATTTGGCCAGTATGTTCCTTTTATGAAGTCCAAGAAAGTAAAAGGAATGACCTTGACCCATAGGTCACAGGGGTCAAATGTGTTAAACTTGGAACATAAGCAAAGATATACTTATGTTGGTCATATAGATCTAGGTGAGCGATATAGGCCCAGAGAGCCTCTTGTTTATTATATACATAAAATTTCCTATTTTGAAATAGAATAAAAGAAATTACAAAGACTTATATCAAAGATGACATTACCTTAATGAAACATAATACCTAGCTTTGGTGACATTCTTAATTATTCACTGCCATATTAACTGTTTCATAATAAAACTTACAAGGCATGTATGCTTGTCATTTTTTTTTAATAAAAAAAAACCACATTACCTGTTTCTGTTACAGCTGATGAATTTCTTCGAAGGTATCGACACCATAAAGCAGACCCGATAGAATGGCAGACAGTTCCCTTGAAGTAATTAAGAATATAATGGTGTGCCCTATTTGTTCCGAGGTGTTGAGTGATGCAAGAGTCATCAGGTGGGGTCACATATTTTGTTTCCGATGTATAGAGCAAGATTATGAGAAGAACAGACTTAACAAAGGACACTGTCCAGTCTGTGGTGAAAGTTATTTCATTAAAGAACAACAAACACAGTACCTATCAAACGCCTTTGTTGTTAATGACTTACTAGATAAAATGAAAACACTTTCCTTTGTCTGTGCATGGTGCCACAGTGGAGATGGTATTAGCATTTGTCTGAAATGCAAATTAGACATATGTAAGTACTGTTCGGAGAAGACCAAAACTTTGTGCAGACACCAAATGGTAACAAGGGAGTATGTTGATTCTGATCCTTTCCTTCAAGATCTTTTGCTCCGCAGTAAGTCCAGACAAGGATGTCCTTCCCACCCCAATGAAGATGTGTGTCATTTCTGTCAAACATGCAAGCTTGTGATGTGTGAATATTGTTTCAATGCAGAACATCGTCACCACTGGGTAGAGGGACTTAAAGAGTCAGTGGCCATGCTTGTTAATAAAAATATTCCTCATATGTTAGAAAACAAAACACAGGAGCTGGTGACGTTTTTAAGGAACCTAGAAGAGCCAAGAAACAATGACGACTCTGTGATTACTATCTGGCCAACAGATGAAGAGAATCGTCTTTGTGTATCAAATCGAGATGACTGTGCAATTCTCCAGAAACAAATGAATTATCTGTTTATGTATGGTAGAGACAAGACAATTCTGCAGTTATTTCATGAACGTGAGAACAAAATTGATAAGATCATGAATTATAAGCCGGAAAGAGAAGTATTTTACATGAGAGATCCAGACACATACTTTAAAAAGAAACATTCCACTACACACATTGAGCCTGTTGATAAAACTCAGAACCTTCAAAGAAAACTAGAAAATTTTGATTCTAAACTAGAATATTGAGATATTGCGATATAAAGTGAGATTTGGTTTTGCGTTCCATTGGAGGACACTATTACACAACAACACAGTGGAGAACCAAACATCAAATCTTAAATTAGGATAAATACTGCAATTGTTGAAAACTAGGAGATGGCTAGAAAAAATCCATACTAGTCAGAATAAACCTCAAAATCCAGACAGTGAGGTGCATCAACTCTAAAATTCAATGAATTGTTTAATCTTCAATGAGAATTAGTTGTGATAATGGTTAACAGCCTGCACTTGGTCAGGAATACAGTGCTATCAAGAGAAATATTGAAAGTGACAAGTCAACTTGGGTGCCAACAGTAAGACCAATTAAAGCAGAAATTGACATAAAGAATGTTATACAGGAAGGTCAAGGACAGTAGATTTGACCAGATGTGTTTCTGGTCTGAACCAAACTCCCTAATTGCAGCATAATACTTACATTGTTGCTATGGATTTTGTGGCTGTTTGAAACTATATAGATTACATTAGTGGTACTTGTGGTGATGATTTTTTGTGTATAAGAAGACTTTTGAGGAAAACCTTTTTGGATTGAACCAGATCTCACTATGGTCCAGTGAACACTCTATTGACCACTATCAGCTATACTGCACTTGGAGACATTTACAGGTAGCTCACACTTCACGTTTGTGTGACTGCTTGCTTATATTGTTTATACTGTGACTACAGTGTTCTGTGTTTACTATTTTTGTGAATATGACTTCTACCAGGAGCTCGAGTGTGTGCAGCAGTAAGGACACAAAGTTTCCTTTTCTGGAAGACTTAGTGACATCTCCAAAGGAAAATCTGTACAGCTGTCTACAGAGGAAAATCTGTACACCCGTCTACAGAGGAAAATCTGTACACCCGTCTACAGAGGAAAATCTGTACAGCTGTCTACAGAGGAAAATCTGTACACCCGTCTACAGAGGAAAATCTGTACAGGCCAGCCTCCAAAGATATCTGGCCTACTATAAAGCCCTTTTTATCCAATAAATGTTTTAATACAGAAGGAAAATCATGATGTTTTTAATCATTTTTTCTCCAATGTTGCTGATGATGTTAGTAAAGATCTTCATGGTGTGTTAGATTTTACAGACCACCCCAGTGTTGTCAAAATCCAAAGTGTTCTCTGTCAAGATCACTTTAGAGATGATTTTATTTTTAAGTCTGTACAGGAGAAAGATGTTAAGAAATTATTCACAGAACTTCAAGTGAAAAAAGCTACAGATTTTAAAAGCTGGTCCAGAAGCTTTTACACCTGTTAATACATCACTGTTTAATTATTGTGATTCTGTTTCTCACTTCCCTCATGCTCTGAAAAAAACTAAGGTATAACCTATTTTCTAGAAGACTGATCCTATGGATAAATGTAATTTTAGACCAGTAATTATTTTACCATCCTTGTCAAAAATGTTTGAAAGAATAATACCAGCTTGGTTAATTTTTAAGCCCGTTTTTAGCCCTTTCTTGTGTGCTTTCAAGAGCGGTTACGGGTGCCAGTCTGTCTTGCTGCAAGCCCTTGAGGATTTGAGGCGGGCCTTGGCCTTGGACAGCCATTAACATATTTGTGTGGTTCTGATGGACCTGTGCAAGGCTTTCGACTGCATTCCTCATAACCTGCGGCTTGGGAAGCTGCGTGCTTATGGTCTGGATAAGTCAGCGGTTGACTTCATCAGCAGCTACCTGAGTGGCAGACAGCAACAGGTCAGAAGACAGCAGCAGGTCAGACTGGAGCCAATGACTGGGGTCGATAGTTGGACATGTGATTTTTAATATTTTTATCAATGATATTTTTACTTTTGTATACTCATGCAGTTTATATAACTATGCTGATGATAATACGCTCTCCAAGATATGTGATAGTTTTGTAGATATGAAAGATTGTTTATAAAAAAGAGCAGGCTTTCAAGCAGGCCCTTATTTTCCTAATTTCCCTTATTTATTAACTTCAGCCCTTGTGTTCTAATTAAAGCTCCAAATCCTAAAAAAGCCCTACACTTTTGGTGAAAATCCTATTTTTTCTAGATATTTAAAATTTTCATAATTCATATTAGTTAATACTTTTGGAATTAATTAACTCTACCCTTAGTTGCTTTCAGTACTTTGATAAAGTGTACAGCTCAGAAGTCATGTTTGTGGTTATCAAGTGGGGTACTCAGCATTGTCTCGAGCCATGCCAGTCTACCTTAATATGCTTGAATTGGAATGCTGAATACCTCTGTTGATGGCCACTGGTATGATCTTCTGGGTTGGTAATTAGCTTTAATGGTCTTGTAGCCATCCACCCAATGGTCAGTACAAGTTTAATTTTGTATTTAAAAGTGAATTAAATCCCTTACTTAGTCATAAAATCCCTAAAAAATCCTAAGATTAGCCCTTATTTTTTTAAAAAGTTAGCCCTATAAAAGGCCGTTATTTTTTATCACAAGTGACTTGAAAGCCTGAAGGAGAGCAAAGTTCTTATTGTCTGGTTCAACTCTAATGGAATGGAAGCTAATCCAGAGAAATTTCAAGTGATTTGTTTTGGTAAGAAGACGAGCAACTCTGTACATTCTTTTGATATTGAAGGTTTGGAGATTTCATGTCAAGAAAGTGTAAAATCATTAGGTATTGACATTGACTTTCTTCTTAAATTTGATATTCATGTTTCTCGCCTTTGCAGAAATGCTTCTAAACATTTTAAAATGACTGGGGAATAATCTTACCAAGAAAGGAAAAGTTAACTTTTGAAGTCTTTTATATTGTCAAATTTTAATTATTATCCCCTTGCCTGGCATTTCTGTACACTTACAAATATATGGAAAATGGAGAAAGTGCAGGAGCATGCTCTTCGTTTTGTTGAAATGACTATACATCTCCATTTTCAGATATTTTACATTTGACATGTATGAAGTTTATAGCCTCTGAGGTTTTTAAGATTTTAAATGGCAAGTCCCATTCCATTTTACAAGGCCTTATTGTTGAGAGGAAAGAAGTATTTTATGATCCAAGACAGGATAATCTGGTAAGGATTCCAAAGGTGAACACCTCCACGTATGAGAAAAGATCTTTCTGGTTTACAGCTTCCCAGGTTTGGAACAGCTTACCAAATTAGCCGAGATTAGCCGAGAATTACGACTCTTTTTGGAGGCTGCTCCGCACGTGGGATGCTGAGGCCTGCTCCTGTACTATCTGTACACATGCTACTCTGTGAGTTGTTCCCCTTTTGAGTCCTTCACCAGCACTTGTTCATTTAAATAACAGGCAATTGTTAATTTTGTTAAATACCCAGTCATTTGTTTTATATAATCCTTATTATCTTTCAAATTTTAGAGTCTGCCAGACTAGCTTGTCTTGTTTCTTTTAATACACACTATATTAGTGTATATTATGTCAATTTTAATGTTTTGTTATGTTAGCATCTATGTCAATTACACTTTGATAGTGTCTTAACTTCAGCATTTAGTGATCCTTGTGTGAGATACAAGAATGCATTGTTAAACTGTTTCTTTAATTATTATATCTAGGTCTAAACTAACTGTGATATGTTGATATTGATCTTGTTATGTACATAGTATTTATATAACTGCACTGTGATATTGTTAATCCAGAGACGTATCTCGTTTATCTTATACCTATGTTTGTCACAGGAATAGCACTACAGTGTTAATGCTTATCCTGTTTGTAATATACAACTTTAAATTAAACTTCTTGACTCTTGAGAGAACTCATCGAGAAATATGAGCGCCGTATTTTTGACCTGGAAAAGCAGAATGATGATTTGAAACAAACAGTAAGCAAATTAGAACAGCAACTAGCGAATTCAGAAGATAGACATTGTGAGCTGGAAAATAAACAAAATGACTTAGAACAACATGGAAGGAAAAACTCAATTCGCATAGTGAGACTTGATGACTCCAGTAAGAATGAAACAGTGAATGAATGTGTCGGGAAGATCGTGAAAGACAAACTGAAAATAGGGATACGTAAGGACGATGTTGACATAGCACATAGACTTGGAGTTTTCCAGCAGGGAAAACCACGCAATGTGATATGTAAATTCACACACCGCGAAAACAGATATCATAAGGAAAAGGAAAGTGCTGAAAGGATCAGGATGTTTTATAGCAGAGGACTTAACCAGAAGAAACCAGCAGAGACTGAAAGAAGCGTTCAAACTTTCTAGTGTAGACCGTACTTGGAGTGTAGATGGAAAACTGTGTTACTCAAAAATGGGAGAAAACAGAGACTATTATACAATACTTTATTTACGGATACTTTCTTGATGAACGACATTAACTTCCCACGTACGTGATCATACCTGTGATATCAGTGACTTTATGTGTGCAAATGAAATAACAGTTTAATTAAAAAAAAAGAACAATTTATTTCTTGTACATTTAGATTAATCAGATATGACATAAAATATTTCATTCTGTTTACAAAATCTGTGTTCCTTGTGTGTTATAAATGTGTTCCTTGTGTGTTATAAATGTGTTCCTTGTGTGTTATAAATATGTTCCTTGTGTGTTGTAAATGTGTTCCTTGTGTGTTGTAAATGTGTTCCTTGTGTGTTGTAAATGTGTTCCTTGTGTGTTATAAATGTGTTCCTTGTGTGTTGTAAATGTGTTCCTTATGTGTTGTAAATGTTTGTGTGTTGTAAATGTGTTCCTTGTGTGTTATAAATGTGTTCCTTGTGTGTTAGATATAATTTATATTACATTTAAATATATATATATATATATATATACACATATTAATAGAAGACATGAAATGATTGTGAATGTGTTTACAATATTAGATGGAACAGAGAAGTCAATGAAGGAAGCTGTTGAGGAACTAAATATTTTTGAAAAATTCTCTGGTTTAAAAATGAATACAGATAAAACTCGAGTTGTATGGATAGGTAAAAGATATAGTACTGAGGTCATTCTTCCTGATCTGAATTTTCAGTGGTGGTGGGGGGCGGGGCAGAAAAGTTTATAATTCTTGGTGGGGGGCGGGGCAGAAAA